GATATTTTCTCAAAGGCGATTTTTTAAATATTCTTAGATTGTCCAAAAATTTTGTTATTGCAAAATATTCAGGCTTAAACCTAATTTGTTTATTAGCGGGGAAAGTATGACATTGCCCGCCAACGGATAAGTCAGGGAAGACTATAGTTTCGAATCTCGCCACTGATCCTCATCAGTTTCTTTAATTTATTTTTTTTTTTTTTTGATAGAAATTCTCCCTTAGCTGTTTATATCTCTTTTACAAAAATAATAAATTGTTTCGTCGGATTTTTATACCCTACACAACTATGTTGTTCTGGCCAATGAAGACCCCTATTGTTTTGGTAAAGATCGGTTAATATTTAGGGGATGAAATGGACCAAAAACTTTATTTTTGTCTGGTCGCTCCAGAGGCCCAAACCTCGCGAATTTTTACATGGAGAAGGGGATGGGGTCAAAGAATAAGCATGCCTGTTTTGATAAAGATAGGTCAATATTTAGCGGGCCAGATGAACCATGACTTTTGTGTGAAAAATTACAAAATTTTTTTATATTGCGTATAGATTTACCCCGGAAGGACATAAACCCGAGAAGTTGATATAATATCCAAGAGGAGTGGTGGCCTTTAAATTGATACCAATTATATTGCCGTATGTACTCGAATGTGGAAGTTACACTTAAATATTTAAAGGTGCCAACGTATTCAGATATTATTTGGTAACCCATTACAACACTAGAGGGCGTAAATATAGCGCTGATCGTTTTGAAATTATCCATGAGGATCCAGGTATGGTCAAGGACAACACCTATAATTTTCGGTGATGATCAGATAATAATTTTGGGATGAAAAGGACCAAAAACTTTATTTTTTATGTTTTTTTTTTCGAGTCGATCTATACGCCACAATTGAAATCCGAATATCACAACCCAATCCACAGTGAAGGGAATATGGACAAGTAATTGCAAGGGCTGTACTGAATATTGGTTATATTCGGAAAATATGTCAGTGTAAGGAAGAGATCCTGTTGACCGGGCAAGAGGGTGTAACTATCACGAAATATTACCCAGGATCGGAAAAAATCCGCAAAAAGATAGAGTTCTGTGGTAGTTGTGTAGGATATCGTATGGTCGGCTCCGTCCGACTAAAATGCTCCGCTCACTGGTTTTTAATATGAATTTTTGGAATAAAAATTGTTTAATTAGTTTAAATTAAAAAAATAAGCGGAGAATTATTTAAATATTTTTTTTTCGATTATGCTTCGATTAATTTAATAGTCTTTGGATTGTATCAACAAATAATTATCAGTAGTATTAAAAATATGCTTCCTTCTCCAAAAAATATATTTTTATGAAGTTTTTTTTTTATTAATTTTCCTTCCTTCATGATTTTCTAGGAAATTATTTCAAGAATGATTTTTTTATCAAATTGTCTTCAAGACTGGATTTTTTTAATTATAGTTGTTTTTTTTTATTTTGAATCAGAATTATGTTTGAATATTTTTTTTAGTCAATATTTTTTTATATTTGAAAGCATGAATGTGTTCGAAATACTTTTTAATGCAAAATTAGGTATATATATATATATATATATATTACAAAATCGTTTCTTAAATTTTTTATACATATATTTTTATGTATGATTTTTAAATATATTTTATAAAAAATATTTTCATAAAAACCTAAATATATGTTTAAGCATGGATTTTTAAAAATCAAATTTGTTTAGAAAAATATTTTTTATAAAGACAGAAAATTACTTCAAAAACTACTTATAAAACTATTGAAAACTATACTTTGAAGAAACAATGATTTTTTTATACTGTTATTAGTTTTGTTTAAAAATATAATATATTTAAAATATTCCTCTAATTTTCATATTATTTTTATTTTTTTTTTTTTCAATAATTTCATCGTCAAATCTTTTTAAAAACATATGATATATTTCCAATAACACAAGATTTATAATTGAAACAAATGTATTCATAAAAAATATACAAGCAGGCAACATTAAGGAGGCGAGTAGTTTATTTAGTATTGGCTGACACACAGTCGTTTTATCCCCCTATTCAATTCAAGGTTAAACGTGCTTGTAATACAAAACAGATAATCTGTCTGGCTACGCCGCACAACGGATGGATGATTCCAAGTAAAATGTGGATTTGCGTGGCACATGTTATGCACAACAACAGATAGTGAAATTATTTTTATGGACAACAACTAAGAACTTCATTGATATTCTGCCATAAGAGATAAACAAGAATAAAAGGAAGAGGCAAGAATGAAAGAAAGAAGTTCCGCAGCAATGCAAATGTAAGTGGAGTCCAGTGTAGACGAATTTCAAGTGAAGAATTAAATATTCAAATCTAAATACACAAACAAAACTATTTTCAAAAATATTATTATTGTAATATTTACACATTGTAATTGGTTCAAATATTCCAAACATGTAAATTAAATATTTTATTAAATACAATAAATATTCCATTTTAATACCCTCCCATTTTTTGGAATAGAAAACAATCATTCAAATCCATGCCTCTAAGAATGCAATGGGATGCTATAAATTAACTGTTAATGGTGGTAATCTAATTTAATGGTCGTTAACGGATTCAAACATGAAATGAATAATTAATTTACAAACTACAAAAATAAAAAAACCTCGATTCAATGTTTGAAAGATTCAAAACCAAACAATGGTAAAGATTTGTAACGAATAAAAAGTGAAAAAATGAGACCTTTCGGTCTTGACACCCATCTGTGAACTTTACAAACAAATTGTGATCATGGATCACATTTTTATTTTATGATTTTTTTTTGTAAATCGTTATTGTTGTTAATTTATGACTAATGGATCCTCTACATGATAGTGATGAAGTTATATGGAGGATATATATATATATATATATATATTTTTATTTTCAGTAATTTTTTGTTAACATGAAATGTAATGACGTTTTCTGTGATTTATTTAAAGAGTTGTCTGTTTATATTTCTCTGCTATAAAGGTAAAATGTAATGTACAACAATAATAATAAAAACAACAAACAAAACATTGAAATTTTTTGCAGTTCAAGGTTTCGTTTGGGGTTACAAACAAAACCGAAAAAACGAGAAAAATTGTAAAAATGTGTAATGCCAAATAAAAGACTTAAGACCGAAGTGTTAATTATTTTAGAAGGGATTTGGATTGGATGTTTTAAAGAATATTTTTCAAAGGCCTGTAGCAAGGCGTGGTTTTTTTTAAGAATATTTTTCAAGAGGACCTCTCACAAGAATATTTTTTCAAGGCGGGGATTTTTTAAAGAATAGTATTTCAAGGCGTGGATTTTTTTAAGAATATTTTTTCAAGAATAATTTTTCAAGGCGTGAATATTTTAAAGAATATTTTTTCAAGGAGTGGATTTTTTTAACAATATTTTTTCAAGGCGTGGATTTTTCAAAGAACATTATTTCAAGGAGTGGATTTTTTTAAGAATATTTTTTCAAGGCGTGGATTTTTTTAAGAATATTTTTTCAAGGCGTGGATTTTTTAAAGAATATTTTTTCAAGGAGTGGATTTTTTTAAGAATATTTTTTCAAGGAGTGGATTTTTTTAAGAATAATTTTTCAAGGCGTGGATTTTTTTAAGAATATTTTTTCAAGGCGTGGATTTTTTAAAGAATATTTTTTCAAGGAGTGGATTTTTTAAAGAATATTTTTTCAAGGAGTGGATTTTTTTAACAATATTTTTTCAAGGCGTGGATTTTTCAAAGAATATTTTTTCAAGGCGTGGATTTTTTAAAGAATATTTTTTCAAGGCGTGGATTTTTTTAAGAATATTTTTTCAAGAATATTTTTAAAGAATATTTTTCCCAGGCCAAGAATATTTTTAAAGAATATTTTTCCCAGGCCAAGTCGTGGATTTTTAAAGAATATTTTTTCAAGGCCTAATACAAGGCGTGGATTTTTTAAAGAATATTTTTTCAAGGCCTAATACAAGGCGTGGATTTTTTAAAGAATATTTTTTCAAGGCCTAATACAAGGCGTGGATTTTTTAAAGAATATTTTTTCAAGGCCTAATACAAGGCGTGGATTTTTTAAAGAATATTTTTTCAAGGCCTAATACAAGGCGTGGATTTTTTAAAGAATATTTTTTCAAGGCCTAATACAAGGCGTGGATTTTTTAAAGAATATTTTTCAGATGTAGCAAAGCAAGGCGTGGATTTTTTAAAGAATATTTTTCAGATGTAGCAAAGCAAGGCGTGGATTTTTTAAAGAATATTTTTGCATTTTTCATAGAAAATTCGGATGGAACCTGGATCTATTATGTGTTCATTAGGTACATTGACTGATTTAAGACCTTAGATTTAATGTTTAATTTTAAGTGTGCGTTTTTCTTTAATTACTGTTAAGTATCAGCGGATCAAATTCCACCTTGAATAGCCTGAGGGGTTAATGATTAGAGTAGAACAATTTAAAACAAAAAATTATTTCGTATTTGAAGTATAACGTCTATAACACGGTACGGTTGCTTGAATCTTAACGTTATCTGAAAATCGCACATAAAAATTTTGTAGTTTTGTGGTTGAACAAAAGCTTTTGTATGATATTTGGTTTAAACGAAAAAAGCTTTTAAATTCAAAGCTTGGGTTGGCAAATAAAAACCGCTACAATTGAAAAACTTTTAAAAACGTAATAACTTTTAAGAAAAAGGCCCATTCAACGAGCCACAGTCTAAAGGCGAAAATCAAAACTTTTTTGAAGAAACCAAAAACAAAAACATAAATTACAACAACGGCAAAATTTTAATGTTTTGGCTTTTTGTGCAAAGTATAAAAACTATAAATAAAACTAAGTGAAGAAACATTTCAAGATTTGCCACCGGAGTGAAGTGAACAAGAAGGCAACAAAAGTTACGGAATAAACTTAGAAAAATTAATAATTAAAAAAAATTGCGAAATTTTAAAAAAAAATACTTCATTAAGACAACAATTAGAATTAGTGTTTAGAAATTAAAACAAAAAAACTAATAATAATTAAAAATGCATTTGGCTATGTTGCAATCTGTGTTGGCCATAATGGCCTTAATCGGAAGTTCCCTGGCAGCCATTGCCTCATTGCCCAATAGCCAGGAATTTGCAACATCGACAACATCCTCCTCGTTGGTAAATGTTGATAGTTTATTAGCATTTCCTAGTGAATTGGCGGCGGGTACCGCTGATGACAGCAGCAGCAGTAGCAGCAGCAACAACAACAATGGTGGCAATCAGCAACAAAAGGAATTCAGTTCAAGTGAGTGTGTAAATAACAACATAAAAAACAGCAACAACAACAATATGCCATGTTACAATAGATCGACAAAAAGAAAAAAAAAATCCCCTCGAAAATGAAAATCGTGACAACCACAAAAAACACAACAACATGGAAAGGAAATATGTGACGCATGGTTTATGCAATTTTTCCTCTCATTTTGGGTGTTTTTTCAATTTTTTGCATGAAGAACTTGAAAACCAAAAAAATTATGTTACCAATTTTTTTTACATAAGCCAAAAGGAGTTTTTTGTGAAACCAAAAAATTCAAGTGTATGAAAAATTCAGGTTTTTGTTGTGTGGTGTGTGACCAATGATTTTTATTCAAATGTTCCAAAGTTTTCCAAATCGTTTTTCCAGTTTTTCAAATTGTATGTGTGTGTGTGTGTTTTTTCTTAAACCCAAAACCTAACAATGAAACAGAAACCAAAAATAGTTCGAGAAGGAAAACCAGCCTAATTTGTGTTACTGTGAGATAGAGTGGCTCTGTGTGTGTGTTTATGTGTGAGATATTGGCATTTGCAAGTACCAACGCTGACTGATGCAGTTACTGATAAAAATCTGTCAAAATTATTTTGTGGTCTTGCAGACTTGTTGCAAGCTTATAAAAGTGTGTATGTATGGGTGGTGATGTGTAAATATTATTATTTCTGCTTGAATGCCATAGATTTATTGTTGTTGGTTTTTTAGGAAATCAAAGTTGTTTAGATGTATTAAAGAAAAATAAACGAGTTTGTGTCTTAAGTCTTTTGTTTCGACTGTCAACAATAATAGGTATTTGAAAATGGAAGAAGATGATGAAGATGTTGGCAATGTTTTACAATGATAATTTGAGGGATAATTTATTTATTGAGAAGTACTTTGAGGAACTACTAAATATAGAAAAATTCGACTTCTCAAGAGTGTCTTTTTTGCAGTATTCTTTGATGAGAGTAATATTAGGAGATATTTGAATACACAACATTATTTTAAAATGGTTTGCATACCACAATAACTTTATATGGGGTTACTATTGATGAAAAACTTCTGTTCGATAGGTCTTAATCTGATAAACATATTTCAAAAAAAAAAAAAAAAAAACGGAAAATAAAACATATTGGCCATAGTCTGAAATTTTCTAAAAAAAACGCTTCAAAGCCCCTTATGAGAGGTTTTCTATGAATATGGGAGCTCAAATCAAGATAGATTCGCCCAATTTCTGACTCTTAGAACTTCTATACAAATTACAAATTCAAAGCGATCTTCCATTGATATCTAGACAGACAGGTTTAAGCAAGTCAACTAATCATTGAAAGTAACTTTTGAGATTTTCAAAGGATAGTAATAGTCTGAGATTTTCTACGAAGTTAATTTACAAAGGACTGAAGAAACTAAGGAGAGGTTTTTTATGTATAAAAAGAAACAGGAAAATAGAATAATACAGGTTTTCAAATAAAATTTATTATTTTGGTATTCAAAGATATTTGCAAAACTCTTGAGATAAATCTAAAATCTTGTCAAATGTCAATCAAAATTCTGAATTACCTGAAACAATGGTTTGGAAAACACTTGAAGGTATTTAAAAATAATTCTCCAGATGGAGAAATTTCTAAGAGTCTTCTTCAAGTTCAAATCATTTTGAGAGAATTACTGCAGAGTGGGAGATGAGGTCCTTAAACATTGAAAATAAAAAATGTTTTTCGACTTATTTCTATTTGTTTAAGAATTAAAAAAATAATATATTTTTTTTTTATTTTTCGAAAAACAAAAAACAACATCTACAAACCAGTGAGCGTAACAGTTTCTGTGCAAATTTTTGCGACATTTGTCCAATTTTTTTGCGAACCTGCAGATTAGAAAAATCAAAAAAATTTTGATCCAAGTGAATCCGAAAACTATATGCGTCAAGCCTTTAACTTCCTCCAGAACTTGATCGTGATTACATTATACTAGCGTATGCCCACTACTTCGTTAACGAATATGGAAACTATGTATGTTGAAATATATTATTTTTTTTTTTCACAGCAAACTGCATATGTCAGAAAAGCAAATCAACCTACACACCAATATCGACCATTCTTAAAATTTGAACGTATTTCCAAAACTACCTCTATATCTCAACACTACACAATTTTGACCTCAACAGAAATCTAGTTCTTTACTAAATTTGTTTTGATTTATTACTTTTTGTACTCATGTAGTACTTATTTCCAAAACTAATTCCAACTATCATGATTCGAGCTCTATAGTTTCAACCAAATTTAGTACATAAAAGTACGAATTTTCAAAAGATCCTACATAGCCCAATACTACACCTCAACAATTATCCCAACTCCAAATTTCAGGATTTCAGCTTTATCGCTTCACACAAAATTCAAGTTGTACGAAATTTAGTACCATTTAGTACATATAAGAACGCAACACAAAAACTGCCTATATCATACAATCAATAGAAAACTTATTTCCAAATTTTAGGATTCCAGCCGGATCGGTTTACTCAAATCTAAATTGTACCAAATTAAGTACATAAAAGTACGAATTTCCAGATCCATCGGATCACCTAAGTCCACATTATATCAAATTTAGCACCATTTAGTACACATTAGTACAACATTTCCATTACTATCACACAATCCAATAGAAATCGTACTTCTCAACTTCAGGATTCTAGCCCTATCGATACACCGTAAAAACAAATTGTACCAAATGTAGTACCATTTAGTACATATAGAAGAATAAATTTCCAAAACTACCTAAATACCTCGATTCTACACTTCAACAGTAATCATTTTTCCAAATTTTAAATTTTCAGCTGTATCGATTCACCCAAAATTCAACTTGTACAAAATTTAGTACAATTAAGGACACATAAGTACAAATTCCAAAGCCACATTCATACTCCAATTCTACCCTCTATAGTAACCTTAATTTCAAATGTCCGTGTTCTAGCTCTATATTTTCGATCAAAAGCCAAATTCATCAAATATTGTACCAATAAGTACTTTTCATACACATAAGTACACATTTACAAAACAAGCTAATTTCAGAAGTCCAAATTACCAAATTTAGTACTGTTTAGTACTTGAGTACACACACTACCAAAACCACATCCTTATATCGACTCTACTTCTCAACCTTAATTCACATTCCAAATGTCAAGTTATTAGCTCTATCAATTCACATGTTACGAAAGTGTACCAAATGTAGTACTTTTTAGTACGTTAGGGAACCTATTGTTCGAATTTCCAGAAAACTAAATTTAAGAGTTATAGCTTTTCCGGTACTTTGTAGTACTTTTCGTACGAACGTCCTTATTTGACATGCTTGGACTAAGTGTGATCCTCACCCCAAATTTTAAGATTCTAGCTTTAGACGTTTCGTCTGGTGATTGATGTCAGTTCTCTATGACCTCATTTCTTTTGATTTGTTTGTCCTCAGAACACGAATTGTCGTTGAAAATTATGTTCTTCAATGCCATTGAGTAGTAAAAAATTGATTTACACCCTGAGTAGGAGCGGGGATTCGACCTTTGTATTTTTTTTAACAAGAAGTCTTGTGTCTGCTATATTCTTACGGGTTTCCTCTTCTGCAGCATAAATAATAAAGCAGAGTCATTAAACCCATCCCCACTAGTTTTCGTATTTATGTACATTTTGATTTGCCGGTCAACCGTATTCAGTTATACGGAACAAAATCGTAAATAAAAAATATATAACTGTGTTAATTCGATGACAATTTACAATGTACGCACACTGTCGTCAATGTGTGACATACAAAACAAAAACGTCCGTTTTTGATTCGCATAGTGATGGCTATGAACCCATAAAAAATATTAACAACAAAATTATGTATGATATCTGCTTTGTTTTTTTTTAAGTTATGCTTCATCTCATTGTTATAAACTTGTTAATATTTGGTTATAAGAAGTGGCATTTATACATCTATTTTTTTGCATTATCATAAATATGAACAATCACACAAACATGAATGGGCAGGTGGCAATGTGCGATTTTTTTTTTCTTTTTTGCTAACATATTGAATGTGAGATCAACAAAAATTAGGTCAAGATCAAAACTGTTGTTAACTTCTTTACATTTTGTTGTTTGTGTGTATATTTGTTTCTACAATTACAGAAGCATTTCGATAATAAAATCCAAATACATTTGTGTTGTTGTTATCAGCTGACGCACCCAGTTGCTACAAATAAAGTTTGGGTCTTAAGTCTTTTGTATGAATTTGGATTTGTGTATGACCTCCCCATTGATATATTATATGGTTTTAAGAAGTACCAGGCTAATCTTAAGGAAATTAGTCATATGAAGTTTGTGTCTTAAGTCTTTTGTTTTGTTGTCTGTACTTTCTGTTTTTGTAATGCAAAGCGTATTAAACACACACACACAAATTTCATTTCAATTGAAGGCCATATTGATGAAATTTCATACAAAAAGTTGTGTGTAATTTAAAAACAAAATGCCAGCTACTGATGCTGCTGTGCTGTGTAGCCTATCATTCATTGTTGGTTTTTATTATTTGGATAAATTATTTTAACACCTTATTGAAAATAATTAACACATTTTTTTATAAAAAAAAACACACACAAGCAGGTCAGGTAATGGGTGACTTATTTTTGAAAAAATACATATATATGCGTATTGAAATATTTAAGTCAATGTAAAGTAGGTAATTACAGTGGAACTTATAGAAAGGGAACGGTATGACCAAAGTTGAAAAAAATGAAGAAAGAAGCCAAGCTAGGGAAACTTCAATTTGAGATATTTTTTACTTTCTTATACAAATTTGTTGTAAATAACCATAGGTTTTACTGTATTTTAACATCACTTGGTGCAAATAAAATTTAATAATTTATGTTCCAACAACAACAACAAAAAGGTGTTTGATTGCGAAAAATGAAAAATAAAAAACAGCTAAAATCCAAAATCCAAAAAAATACCCATAGTTGGTTACTTCATAAATCGATTTGCTGTAATGTTGCCATTACTTTG